TTAATCTTTGAAAGAGCTAGCTTTTTGATTCGTTAATTCTTTGTATTTTGTTGTCTCAATTGCATTAATTTCTGCTCTAATCTTTATAATTTCCTCCCTTCTTTGGGGTTTGGATTTTGGTTTGCTCTTCTTTTTCTAGATGTTCAAGGTTCAGCATTAGGGTATTTATTGTGCCTGTTCCTGTTCTCCTAATGTGTGAGTTCACAGCTATAAATTTCTGTCTAACAAGTGCTTTCATTGCATCCCATAAAGTCCAATAAGTGGTGCTTGAATTGTAGATATTGTTTAATTTCATCTGTAGCCCATTAGTTGCTGAGGTGGCTGTTGTTTAATTTCCATATATTTATGGGGTTTTTTGGTCATTTATTTCTAATTTCATTGCACTGTGGTCAGATAATATGCATGGAATAATTTTTGTTTTCTTGCATATACTTAAGCATGACCTATGGACCAGTATGTGGTCGATTTTAGAAAATGTCCCATGTGTAGCTAAGAAAAATGTGTATTCAGATATGGTTGGGTGGAATACTCTATATATGTCCACTAAGTCCATTTGTTCCAAGTTCTGGTTCAGTTCTGCTATTTCTTTGCTAATTTTTTGTCTGCTTGACCTATCTCTTTGGAATAAGGGGGTGTTAAGGTCTCCTATTAAGATTCTGGTTTTGGATGTCAGAATTTTCATGTTCATTAAGATTTGTCTTATATAGTTGGGTGCTCCCATGTTTGGTGTGAACATATTTATGAATTTTTCCCTAAGCAATATATGTAGTAATCTTTATTTCATTCAATCATTCTTGATTTGAAGTTCAGACTGTCTTCAAACAGGATTGCTACCCATGCTTTTTTTCTGAGGTGCTGGGGGAGGTAGTATTGTTTCCCATCCTTTGACTTTCAGTCTACGAGTTTCTTTATGAGTTACATGTGTTTCTTGTATACAACATATTGTTGGAATTTGATTCCTAATCCACAGTGCCAGTCTATTTCTTTTAATTGGTGAATTGAGTCCATTTACATTGATGGTTATAATTGGTATTGACTACTATTGACATGTCATTTACTTGCTGTTGTATATCCCTTTTTCTTCTGTGTTTGTTTTCCTTAATTGGTGGGTTGCTTCCATTCTCATCTGTGGAATTATGATCATTTTGATTCCTCTCTAGAATATCTTTTAGTAGTCTGTGTAGAGTTGGCTTTGCCATTATGAAATTCTTTAGTTGTTCTTTGTCATGGAAATATTTCACTTCTCCATCAAACTTGAAAGGAAGTTTTTCAGGGTATAGCAGTCTGGGATGGAATTTGTTTTCTTGGAGGACTTGAAGTACTTTGCTCCATGCTCTTCTTGACTTGATGGTTTGTGAAGAGAAATGTGCCACCATTCTGATTGGTTTTCCTTTAAATGTGATCTGCTTCTTTTCCCTAGTGGCTTTTAGTATACTGTTCTTGTGCTGAATTTCTGGGATCTTGATTATTATATATATCGGTATGACTTTAATTGGGTTGATGTTATTGGAGTTCTATATGCTTCAGTTACCTGAATGTCAGATTGTTTTCCCATATTTGCTAAGTTTTCTGCTATTACTCTGCCTGTATTCTTTTCATATTATTTGTATTGACTCCTTCTTTCTCGTTAATAAATATGTTTTATGTTGTTCATCTTGGCATCATCTTGCAGATGTTGAATTATTTTTTCGTGCATCCTAGTTGTTTTTAAGGATCTTTTGTTACCTTTTCACTAGTTGCAATGATGTCTTCAAGGTCTGAAACTCTATCTTCACTTAACTCTATCTTACATTCAAGCGGTTTTGCTAGCTTGCGATTGAGGTTTTAACTTTTTGTGTATCTCTTTGAATCTGCTTCATGCATTCTATTTCTTTCCTATATTGCCCATTCAAGGATTCCATCATTTTTCTATTCTCCTTTTATTTATTTTTTTAATTTTAATTTTAATTTTGGGTGGAACTGGGGATTGAACTTAGGTCCTTGTGCTTGCCAGGGAAGAGTTTATTCCACTGAGCCATCTCCCCGGCCCCTCTCCTTTATTTTTATCAGTGTCTTCTTTAGAAGCTTTAGTAATTTTTTTGTTATAGTTATCATTTCTTTTTTTTTTACTTCAGAGATTATTTTTAATCTGATTTCCTCTTTACTTTTCTGCAGGTTTTTTTTTTTTCTTCATACACTATTATTTCAGAGATTTCTGGTGTGTATTTTCAATTTCTTCTATGCTCGTGTCTCCTGCATTTGTTCTGGATGGTTTCAGGGCCTGAGAATGCATTTTGCTCCTGCACTTTGTCATTTTGTATAGCACTGTCTTTTGACTTCTTGTGTAGAGCTTTGGTGCAGTTATTACCTTAGCATGTACCAATATTGCTATCCAAGAGAGATTATGTGGTTAAGGCTGTTACAGTTTTGTATTTAGAGAACTATAATTAGCAACACTAATAATGGACAGTGAGATTTAGCGGTTGTTAAACTTTTGTATCTAATGGATTTGCCTTTTAGACCCTAAGAATAAACATTATGGCTGTATAGCTAAGCAGATATTAGATTGGGAATTTGTACCTAACTTAGTTCCCCTAAATTCTATCTGACCACCTCCCCTTTTGTACCTGTAGTTTTCCAGGCAGACTAGTTCACCCCAGTTACCTGTTGACCCCTCTCTCAATCAAGAGAGAAAGAGAGAGGATGCTGCCATAAATCTGGGTCTAGCAAAGTGTCTCAGCTTATTGGGACCATATCTACCAAGTTCAAACTTTTCCAGGTGGGCCTGGCTTGGGTCTGGCTGCTATGCTCTGCTTTTCCTGTTGCAACCCATGCAAGTGGGCCCACTGTGCCCTTCTTACATGATTTTCTGCTCATGGATTAGTTGGGTGGATCTCACCCCTTGCCTCTGTGCAGGGAGTTCTGTTGCAGGGTTCAACACCGGGCCTGTCTGATGAAGGAGGTTCAGGTGAGCACACAGAAGATCCTACTCACATGTTGGACACAGAAGGTCCCACACACATGCTGGGCCTGGGGGCCCCATTTTCAGTAAGATATGTTCAAAGAATTTGCAGATGTGTTTTATGTTTTATTTTATTTTATTTTGTTTGATTTTTTAAAAAATTATTTATTTAATTTATTTATGTGTGTGTGTGTGTGTGTGTGTGTGGCCAGCTCAGCCCACCTGGGGGTGGGACTGGCTGGCATGTGGTGCTGGGGGATTGAACCGTGGTCCCTGTGCTTTGCTAAGCTTGTTCTAAGTAAGTGCTTTAGACTCTTACTGTTTTGTTTTTGATCTTTTTGAGGCAGGGTTTCTCTTTGAAGTTCAGGCTGGCCTTGAACCATCTATGTAGTCTGGTCTCACGCCCACAGTGACTTTCCTGCCTCAGCCACCTGAGTACTGGAATTACAGGCATGTGCACTGCACCCAGCATATTTTATGTTTTAGACTATCACCAATTATGACCTATGGGAGAAATTATTGGTGAAGCAGTTCAGGAAGAGACCAACATGTAAAGTCTCTGAGGGAGAAAAACAGTAGGAATATTTAGAGAAATGAAAAGGCAGCCAGGTTGGAGCACTGGAAGCAAGGAGGGATGTCTGAAATGTGGCAAGAGTGTTATAGAATGGATTTGCAGGGTTGCACTGGAAACCTGAAGATTTATATTTCATGTTTTAAAAGGGCCATTGCAGTGTTTAAAAAAGTATTTTTATACAATGGAGTACTACTCAGCTTTAAGGAAAGATAAACTCGAAGCTTTTATAGGTAAACGGATGTACCTGGAGACCATACTCATAAGCAAAATAAATTAGAGCAGCATGTGTAACATCCTATTGTCTCCCCAGTATAAGAACATGAAAGAGTAAAGAATATGAATGGTATAGTAGATATTGTTAAAGGAACAGAAACTGCTCAAAAGGAAAGAACAACTGGGATGGGGAAAGGAGG